GCTCCCTGCTCAGCGGGGGGTCTGCTTCTCCCTCTGACCCTCTTCCCTCTCGTACTGTCTCTCATTCTCTCTCTCAAATAAATAAATAAAATCTTTAAAAAAAAAAAAGTGGTACTTGTACATTAATTGAAAGCCAGACAAATGGAACAAAGTAGAAAGTCCAGAAATAAACCAAAGTACATAAATACAGGATATGCTGTAGGTAACATTGAATTCACTGGGCAAAAGGTGTATTTTTAAAAAAATGTGGAACAAAACAGTAGTCATTTGGAAAAAGATATTTTTTATATGGAAAAAGATAAAATGTGGGAGTGGGAAAAGTCTCCATGAATCAAAATCCACTAGCAATACAAGTTTCATAAAATAACATAAAAAAAAGTAAGGGTTGTGTGGTAAATATTAACATGAACAAAGTCAAAAGACCAATGACAAACTGAGAAAACTAGCAACTTATACTGTTGGCAAAGGGCTAATCTCTCTAAAATATAGAGTTCTTCAAATGGAAGGGGGAAATAAGCACCACAAAAATAGAAACAAAAAATAGTGTGGTATTGGTGAAGAGACAGAAACATAGATCAATGACACAGAATAGGGTCCAGAAATACAGTCACATATTTATGATCCACATGACTATGGTCAATTATTTTCCACAAATCAAAGGGAATTCAACGGGTAAAGAAAAGACTTTTCCCAAAAAACGATGCTGGGACAACTGGATATGTGTATGGAAAAAAAAAATGAGTACTGACCTTACCTCATACCATACATAAAAACGAACCCAAAATATATCACAGATCTAAATTGAAAGTCTAAAAATATAAAGCTTTCAAAAGAAAACAGGAGAACATCCACATCACCTGGTATGTGAACATTTCTTATTTAGGACACAAAAAAATTAATAAACTGGGCATAAGTAATATAAAAAAACTTTTACTCTTCAAAGGACACTGCTAAGAAAACCAAAAGGCAAGCCAGAAAAAGAAAATATTCACAATACATGTTATCTGATAAAGATCTTCTATCTAGAATACATAAAGAAGCCATATAAAATTATAGACACATAAAACAGATCAGTACTCTAGGTATGGAGGATGTGACAAAGGGGTATAAGGGGAAAGAGCCAGGCACAAAATGTACATGCCACATGATTGCATTCATGTGAAATACCCAGAACAGGCAAAATCCTATCAAGGGTTAGGGTGTGCAGGGTGAGTGGTGGGTGAAAACAAAGGGGCAGGAGGATATTCTCTGTTGTGATACAAATGGTCTGTGTCTTCACAGAGGTATACATTTTTCAAAATTGATCAAACTGTCACTCAAAACCTGGGCATTCCATTTTATGTAAATTATACTTCAAGTGAAAAATTTTAAAAATCATTATAGCTCCTATATACTGAACACAGAGGCTAAAAAACAATCTTTAGCTTTAAGAATGCGACAAGAGGGCGCCCGGGTGGCTCAGCTGGTTAAGCGACTGCTTTCGGCTCAGGTCATGATCCCGGAGTCCTGGGATAGAGTCCCACATCGGGCTCCCCACTCAGCGGGGAGCCTGCTTCTCCCTCTGACCCTCTCTCCTCTCATGCTGTTTCTCTCTCACTCGCTCTCTAAGAAAGAAAGAAAGAATCTTTGGAAAAAAAAAAAAAAAAAAGAATGTGACGAGATACCTGCAGTGGGTAGTGGGTAGCCCTGTAGTGGGGATAGTGTCATTTTCCTTTGTGTCTCAAACAACATGGAGCCTACTGCATTGCGCATTATTTATTTAAAGACCGCAATCCTGAAAACCTCAATTAATACAAGACTAACCTCATTCAAAATGGCATAGCAGGTGTTTTGTTTATATGGCAATGGCGTAACATCAACTTACAATTCATACAGCCTTCTATCTGTGCAATTATGCCATTCTTGAACTTTTCATTAGAAGGTAGGGCTTCACATCAGGGTAAATATTATCCCTCACTGGTTGATAAAAGACACTCAATAGGGGTCTGCTACATTAACAATAAAGGAGTTTATGCCGATCAAAGTCTTAAAGAGAAAACAACAACAACCACCACCAGAAACAAAGTTCCTAAAGCAAAACCACAGCAAAACAAAGATTCATACAGAAAGATGATCGTTCACCAGAACACTGGAAATAGTAAGATAAAATGTAAACAGACAGAATGATTCCATAAATAATGGCAATCCCTTCAGTGAAATCCTATTCATCTGTTTCAAAGAGGAAGATAAAAACTGTACTTTCATGGGAGGATAATATATCGTGAAAGGGGAAAAGATGCAAAATATTCTATGTGATATACTTTTTTTTGTAAAAATACACATATATATGTTAGTTTATGTAGACAGAAGAAAAATGGTAGAATATACTCTAGTGTGTTGACAGTGTTTGTCTCTCAAGAGTGAAATACAGGAGATTTACACATTCTACAATCTGTTAGGTCTGTAAGACTTGAGTTCTATACAAGGCACCTGTACCATTTTTCTAATTGCTTCTTCAGATGTTAGGGGTTATAATATCTGTGAAGATCTACCTGTTGTACTGACAGACCCAAAAACTTTTTTCTCTTGCTCTTATAGTGGGTAATATTTTGAAATATTAACTATAAGTTCGCACCTCATTACAATCTTAGTGTCCCATCCCCCACTCAATCTTTTTTTTTTTTGGTCTCAAAGAAGAGAGAGGAACACCTAAGCCTGAAAGGACAAAGTCTAGTTCTTTCCATTCATCCTTTCTAGGATAACACAAATGATTTCAAATTATGCACAAAGAGGAAAAACAAAGCTTCTTAATATCCTGTCACCCCACCTTCTTCACTATCTCTGAAACAGATCTGGGAGAATCTTCGGGCAGAAGAGGTCTGATTCCACAAGAGCCAGGCCAGGAACCAGTTCATCTATAATAATCTGGCCTTAAATACTAAATGCATTCCCACTCCTGTCCATCCCAAATTTGGATGCAACACTGAGGTGGGAGGGAAAGGAGGAGGAAGTTGAAGGGACATGAACCTGGTGTGTCTAAAAACTTTTAGGGCAACCTATTGATGTGTGGGCTCTCAAAAAACAATTAAATGGAGTTACTGAAAATTAAGCCATTACACTGCTTACAGTCCTAAAGTCTTAGAATGAGACTTAGACTCACTACAGTTTATTTATTGCCTTTTCTGAAAAGCACTGAGCTGTTCTGAATGAAACACAGCAGCTTTCTTAATTCTGCTAAAACAGAGGTATCTTTCCTTTTAAATCTTCTGCCTACTTTGCATAAAATGAGGGGACCAAGATGGCTTGAATGTTCCTCTGAGCTGGACTAATACTATACATATGGCTCTCCCTGGTTCTAGGTCCCCACCACCCTTTCCTCTGGGCATCTGCTTTAGAAAACCTTTAATTAAACATCCTTTCTCTGTTTAAAACATATATAACTCTTTTTACAAGCCTCTCTTCTGTTTTACAACCCCAAACTCTCTTTCTGAAGGGCCTGGGAGTCATCCTTTGACATGTAATCCTCAAGGAAGATAGCACCCCTATTCCCAGTCTCTGTGGGAGGGTAGGAGCTAGCTTCTAACAGGCACCAACAGCAAACACACACGGCCTAATCACAGAGAACCAGTGAGCAAACTTCAGGAAGTTACTCAAGGTGTTCTACTGGTCAACCTCCCCTCTACAGTCCTCCAGCACATTCCCACTGTCTCACTCAGCCCTCAAACACCTTCCCATCCTTTGTCTCAGCAGAACTGAGCTCAGACTGAGTTCTGGCCTGTCTTCCCAGTTCCTAGAACCGTGCATGAAGTCTTCCTTGCCTGTTTAACTTAGTTCAGTGCAATTTCCGCCTTGGCAGAGGAAAACAAAGACACTGGAGCTTCCTGCAGCACTTAACTTCCATACCCCTTCCTCTATTTCTTGAACGTTTACTACCTCCTGTCAGTTGAAATATTCTAATCACCCTCAGAGATGGGTACAAATAGTAGTATCCAGCTTCTTTTACAGGAGGATACTGAGGCTTAGTGAAATCAAGCAATTTACATTAGGTCATTGCTATAATCTGAATGTCGGTGTCCTCCTCTTCTCCCCAAATTCGTGTGTTAAAATCCTAACCCCAATGTGATGGTATCACCATGAGGGACATGCAGCATGTGATGAGGTCATGAGGATGGAGCCCTGATGAATGGGATTAGTGCCCTTATGACACAGGCCCCAGAGAGCTCCCTTGCTGCCTCCACCATGTGAAGGACACGTTGAGAAGATGCCTGTCTGTGAATCAGAAATCAGGCTCTCACCACACACTGAATCTGCATGGAGCTTTGATCGGAGACTTCCCAGCCTCCAGAACTGTGAGAAATACATTGGTTGTTTTTAAGTCACCCAGCCTACAGTATTCTGTTACGGCAGCCCCAGCTGACTGGGACAGTCACATAGCAAATAAATTCTGGACTCCGCAGGCCTAGACCCACAACACGTGCCTCCAGAGCCCTGGCTTTCAAATACCTGGCACAGCCCAAATAAAAGTTTGTTTAATTTGCTCTCGTTAGCTCCAGTGTGTGTTTCAGGGTCCAGGGAAGGGTCCTTTACTTCCTGTTCTTGTTTTGGTGTTTTTGAGGGGGAGGGCACTTTCTCCTCCCTCGGAAGCCCTGGATGCATTCCCCAGAGCAGGGGGACCCGGAGAGGAAAAGGATGGGAGTGAGGTCCAGCGAGGGACACGCAAAACACAGGACGGAGGGTCAACACTGGGTGTGGCGGCCCCTGACAGTCGACAGTGAGGTACAGGTAACATTATAATATGTATATCACGTCCAGGGGGGGTTGGGTATCGTTTTGGAGGGAGCAGAGAGGGCTGTGGACGGTTCCAGTGTATTTGGGGGCTTGGGGGTCTTGTGCGGGGTTCGCACTCACGAGCTCTGCGCTCAGAGTGCGGCCGGCCTCCGGGGGGCAGTCCACGGAGCACCCTCCGCCTCCCCGGGGGAATCTGGGGAGAAGACACCGGGGCGGGGAAGTCCCACACTCACCGCTCAGGCCTCGTAACCGCCACGGCCACACCTCCACCTGTGAGGGACACGCGTCACCCGCGGCGCGGTGCCTCCTCCCAACGGCTTCCCCAACCGCCCCGCCGCTGAGCGCGGGAGCGGACCCGCCACCTCGCGCCCCTTCCTCGCGCATGCGCGCACGCACCCAGGCCCCACCCGGCCCCGGGACACCTCAGAGCGTGAGGCCTCCCTAAACTCTTCCCTCGCGTACTGCCCGAGGCCCCACCGCCCTGAGGGCCCTACGTCGGGCCCGTTCGCTTGCTCCCAGGCTCTTTGCCTCTGCACCCCACTGGACGACCCGACCATTCTCCGTCTGTCGCTGGCTCCCCTCTCCCTCATGTGTCGTGGTCACCCTCAGCGGGCCAGTAGCTGGTGGCAGGAAGTGGGAGGAGATTCAGCGGCCGCCGCGCTCCACGGTCTGTGGGGGTCAACAGATAACTTGCAGAGGCGCAGGCACAGGGGCCCGCAACCCTGCTCCGGGGGCCACTCAGAGCCCCAGACGCGCGGCGACCCGGCCTAGGGCGCGCCGTCCACGCGCCTCGCCCCGGTGGCATGCGCCGCCTCTGCCCGTGGGCGCTCAGCGCGTGGAGACCCCCACTGCGTCCTCTGCACCGCTGCCCTGACCCGCCAGCCACTCAGTGGGCCTCACCCCCGGACCTCTCTCATGCTGCTCCCGTTCACTGATGGTCGCTTCTCTTGGCGGACCTCCGCCCCAGCCAATACGCACCTCCACTGTAGCTTAATGGTTGGAAGCCCAGGGTCTGGATTCTATCAGAGGGCAAACCTCTTCCCTACTGGACCAGGTATCGGGTTCTGGCCTCTCAGGGCTAAACGGAGCTGGGCTCTTGAGCTGTCGGGTTAAGCTTTGTCAGGAGAGCGTGCTGCATGGACCCTGCAGGACCAAGGGCTGCTGGTCCAGGTTCGGGTGTTTTCCCTTGATTTTTCTTACTATCACCTTGCTGCTGCCAGCAGCATGTTTGGAGGACATTTCGCGGCATTCACCCTACACCCCCACGCTCATTAACCGTGGATGCTCAGTGACTCTCGCAGGTGCCCCTTCCTTAGCACCAGCCTGCCAACAAGCACAGAAAAGTTTCCTGCTTGCTAGATCCAGCCGGTTCCCTGTTGGCCAGCCTAGGCAGCCTGTACCCTATGGGGCATTTCCTGTTTCTCAGCAGGTGTGGAACAGCCTCGACCCAAGGCCAGGGAACTTCCCACCAACTTTACCTTCTCCAAGATGATCTGAATCCCAGCCTTGGGGAGGAGTCCTCTTCCAAGTTTGTTTCTTCCTTGGGTAATTTCTCTCAGCCATAGTGTATTCTTGAGCATTCTCTGTACTTTCTTATGGCTAACCCCCTGTTATAGTTAGTAATTCTTTTAACTTTTCCCGTTCAAATTGCTGTGTGGTTTCCTGGCTCCTAATGGGGATATTGACAGATGTTCCTGCTTTCTTGCTGGGTGACCCTGGGTAAATCCTTTACCCCTCTGTGCCTCCCATGTACAGTGAGGATAATAAGAGCGGCACCACCTACTTCAGAGGCTTGTAGCACAATTAAATGATGCAATGCATGTAAACTGCTTAGTAGAGGAATTGACATATAATTTTTTGTTTGTTGCTCGAAGATAGGGAGGAACAGTGAAAGAGACTACCACATTAAAGGAATTTTAAAGTCATTAATGATGCCAACTGTGAGACTAGATGCAAGTAATAATAGCTTAATCAAATGAGTTCCCTCTCCTCTTTTAAAGGTGGCAAGCCTGGTAAACAAATTTTGCAATTACTGAAATCAGTGGTGATGTATGGCATGTGTGGGAGTGGAGCCCATAGAAAGTCACACCTAAAAACAATAAAACACAGAATAGCTTCTGGGTATCATTTTATTACTCACAAAATCCAACTGAGGATATAAAAACCTTGAACAAACCATCTCAAAATAGAGTAGCTTCAGGGACTCTTTCTGTCTTGCAACTGGGCAACAGTCATCCCTACTTGTCTGCTCATCTGCCCATGAATCTTGAGAGTGATTAGATTTCTCATGTGGCTTATGGTGTACTCCACGTGCCCAGACAAGATCTGAGGAAGAGCTGTGTCTCTCTCCACTTCATTTCTTCTTTCTCTCTTAATCAGAAGTGGGGTGAGAATAGGAAAGAAAACACACTATTTTTAAAGAAGTGTTTTACCTTCTGTTCTTGGACTCTAAATGTCTTGGTACAAAGATTCTCTTACAAATGAAGAATCTTGGTTTGAGTTTTGGAAATAATAATCCAACTTACTCCTACCCCTTAAACTTTGATATTGATTTTAACTACATCCTTTTTGGTATAAAACTGTGTATGTGTGTACTCATGCAAAAGATGATTTGATACAGGCTTACTGCTCCTCTTAACCATAACTCAATACTGAAACAATCCTCTTGCTTTTCAAGCTATCCCATTTGACAGCACCACCATTTCTGGATGTTTCTGTTTAAACATTCAGCATGCTCAGGAATAGGTCCTTTTCCTACCCTGATTAATGGCGCTCTTTTATATTTCTAGGAAAATGAACAGGAATTTCTCCAAATGTCTTTAGATTTGCACATGCTGTATACACGAGCCACTCATGTAAATCTACAAAAGAGTGACGTATGTTCTTCTTTGGGGGACTCTTTATTATGTAAATATATTTATACCAAGATAGGCACACACATAGTAATGCCCCTGTGTGTGTCCATGCATAGACAGAGTAGTCTAAGGAAGACATAAAGTTCACTGGTTGGGAGTGAATCTCAGGGTACCTTTTCTTTATAATCACCTTCTGTGTTCTCTGGGTTAGCAAAGGCCAGGAAGACTTGTTCCAGCGTTATCTGACCGATGGAATAGTCTTCTAAATTGAATTGCTCTTTAGCATCCTCCAAAATACCAAACACCTTTAGCAACAACAGCAATAAAAAAGTGCAGTTACCATTTTTATAGTCCTCCCCTCCAGTGCCCAACCCAGATAAGCCTCTCCTGCACTTCCTCCAAGTCCTGTCAAGTTAATGTTGGAGGACAAAAGGGGGAGATGAGAAAACGATAGAAAACATAAATTGAGAATCTGCAAGGAAGCCGTTCTCTGTCCCCCTTCTCTTGATGGACAGAGATTAATAATGGGATTTAAGGAATAAATCAATTAAATTCTAGGGACTTTTGGAAAATAACATACTTTAGGTTACCTTTCTGCTCCTTATACAATGTCAGGCTCCCATTACACATGCCTGGATATCAAATACTGCCCCCATCATTAGTGCTTTCTAAATATATAATGTTAGAAGGTCATGGTTTCTATATTACCTTTCCCCAGCTGTTGTCCTTGCTGGGAATGTAGTAGGTAAGGATCCCTTGATTCTCCTGCTTTAATACACTACCTAAGAAATGAAAGACAGGATAGATGAATAATCTTGCAGATACCATTTTAAATTTCCAAAATATTGCTACATCAACTTAATTATTCACAATAGAGGAGTGAAGAGACATTGTTAATACAAAAAGGGACACGGTCAAATAACCTGCTCTCTTTGATATATATGACATGGTTAATTCCTTTTGGATTTATTTCTGATGAAATATTCTTATTATAATGGATTTCATAACAGTTATTGAGGGCAGGCTTTCAGGCACAGTAAAATTGTCAGCTCACATACCCCATGGAGAAACTCTGAGCCTTCTAAAATTCTGTTACAAGACTTTATTCCTGAACATAGTGCTGAGAATATGAGCTGGCCGGATTTTCACCTCGGTTGTGTGGATATGTATGCATGTGCTGTGTGCTTGGTGGGGAGGAGAGCAGGACAAGGCCTCCTTGCTTTTTCATTATTACATGTCCTGTGAAAGAGGAAATCATACATATAAATCACCAAAGTCAGGCTGTGTGTTCTGATTTTGTTCACTGGTGAATAAGAACCCACTGGTGGAACGAAAGGGAAGAGGGTGGTATCCACTTCTAATTGGAACAAATGTGTTTACTCTCATCAGTGCACATTTGTAGGTTGTTGCAAATTGGATTAACTGGGGTCAAAATCTTTTAAAGTAAAAAATACATGTTTATAATAAGGGTGAGTGGATTTTCTTATGTGAATTTTAATGTGTGTATTGTTTCCATGATGCCATAAAGCTCTTTTTTGTGTGTGAAAAACTTGAAACATGGAGTTTAATGAATTATTCAAAGCAAACATTGGTGAAATCACCCCATTTAGGCCAAGTAATAGTAACGCAGAGACTTCCATGTCCCACTCCTCAGCCTCTATCCCACATAAAAAATTACCAATACCTTCATTGTTATTGTGGATATTTCCTTTTCAAAGGTGTTTTTACCAATGCATATACCTCTAAAAACTGAGGTAGAGTTTTCCTACCTTTGACCTCTATGTGAATGGAATCATCTGGTATATTTTCTTTTCTTTCTTCTTCTTTTACTCAGTGTTTGTGAGATTCATTCATGCGGTTGCATATAGCTATAATTCGTTTTCTTCTCTAAATAGTAATCTGGCATATGAATATTCTGCCATTTATCAATTAGGCTACTGATAGACATGGAAATTGACTATTGTGAATATTACTGACTTAAATATTATTTTACTTATCTCCTTTTACAGGTGGATGCAAGTATCTAAAATATAGCTGTAGGTAGAATCATTGGGCCATTGCTTTTTAAAAAATTGGTCCAGTTTCACCTGTGAAATATAGTGAGTTGGAAAGACTGTCACTCCCACTGCTACTACAAGAAAGCTGGACAAATTGCAAATTAATGCATTTCTTGAACCCATCAGTTTTCTGACAGGGCAAACTCAGGGCAAATAACTAACCCATATCCGGGTAGAGACAGGCATCTACAGAGAAGATCAGGACCATAGCATTTGCTTGTACAAGGCAGACACTACCAGATGACATAAGCTGCAATAAAAAATGTAATAAGTTGCTAAAGATCAAGTGTGGGATAGCAAGAGAATGATGAAGCCCATTTTTAAAATTTTTATCCTCTCTGATTT